TGGTTTGTTAATGGGAAATACCTGGTTACCTTTCAATGGAGGAGAGGTTTCAACCCTCTCATGTAAAAGATCAAAGAAGCTTATCTATGGATACATTTGCTTGGTCTCCCTCTTGATTGTTGGTCAAGAAATAATTTGGAAATCATTCTCCAAGAAATTAAACCGGTTCTAAAGCTAGACTCCGACATGGAAGATTTTTAGAGAGTTATGTATCCTCGGGTTTGTGTATGGGTCAACCTTACCAAGCCCTTTAAGATTCAAATCCCAATAACGTCTGGAGGCCAAGAGCATAAGATTAAGGTATTTTATGAAAATATTTTTTGTTTATGTTTGAATTGTGGATGGCGTGCACACAAAGCCAAGAAATTCCCTGAGCACTAGAATGAAAATGATAGAGAAGGTTGGATAGTTGTTCAGCATAAAAAAAAAGAAGTATAGTAAGAAAGCCTGGTCCCAGGTACAACAATGTGAAAGATGATCTTAAGGGTAGATCATGGAATAAGAGGAAAAAATACTAGCTCCAGGTAAAAAAACCAAAGAAATGATCACGCGCAAAAGAATACTAGATCCAACTTCATTAACCTGGGACACATGATCCTGGAACCATTACACCCAAAGAAGCTGAGGCCTGTGTAGGTTCCAAAGCTTAATGCTACTAAAAAGAATAAGAGCATTATAGAATATTATGAGGGCAAAATTTTTTATCATGATCAATCCATCAATTAGGATGAAAATTTAGAGGGAATTGGAGATGACAATTTTGATGATGATGAGTTAGAAGGAGAAGGTGAAATGGAGGAAGATTGAAATGATCAGGAGATGCACGAGGAGGGGAAAGAGATGCAAATTGATCAATAAAAAGCTGAATTTGATGGGGAGAATATGGGCCCTATGACCAATGAGATGATCAATGTAGATGCTAATCTGGAATGTTAGAGGGGTGGGTAAGCCTCACCTGAGACGTCAAGTTTTTAATCTCTCAAATTCCCATAATGTTGATTTATGTTTCTTAATGGAAACTAGAGTAGGTCCTGAACATGCAAAGAAAATATTAAAAACTTTTCCTTTTGTTGAATCAATTGGATTAATTGGGGGGTTTTATGGATTTTGTGGAAAAAAAATCAATGTAATCTTAAAGTCATCTTTTTAAATGATAGAATTGTTCATGCACTTGTTGAGGATTTAATGCTAAATAAATATTGGTTGTGCACGTTTGTATATGCCCCTCCTAATCGTATAGAACAAAGAACTGTTTGGTCTTGGCTTAAGGAAATATCTGATAATGTTGACCAACCTTAGTGTGTCGTGGGGGATTTTGAAGCCCTTAGAAGCAATGTTAATAAATGGGGTGGCCGAAATGTAACTAATAGTCAAACCAAGGAGTTTAATGATTTTATAAATTCTTGCAACTTAATAGAGATGGAAATGCAAGGTCTTTGGTCTACATGGAGAAACTACAATGTCAAAGAAAGGATTGGCTGGGATTTTTCTACCCATACCAATCTGCCCTTTCTTGCTTCAGATCACTGCCTATTCCTCCTTCAAATAGATGTTAAGCTGAATCTTGGGCACAAGCCTTTTAAATTTGAGGATATGTGGTGCCTTGATTCTAGGCTTGAGGAGGTTATACAAAATTCTTGGAGTTGTTCCTTTGAGGGTTCAAAAGCCACCCAATTTATTAAAAAAAATATATATGCTTGTTAAAAACTTAAGGGTATGGAACAAGCAAAAATTTGGTAACATTTTCCAACTAAAAGAAAAATTATGAAACAATTGGGGGAAGTTCAGGCAAATTTATTGAATGATGAACATAACATGTCTCTATTAAATTTAGAGACTGCTCTCCAAAGACATCTCAACTCTATCCTAGTTAAAGAGGAAGCATATTGGGCCCTAAAAGCCAGAATTAATTGGATAAAACTAGGAAATAGAAATAACAATTTTGTCCATACTACAACCACTATAAGGAAGAACAGAATAGGATTACAAAGATAAAAAATAACGTTGGTGAATGGATTTGTGACCAAAAGAACATAGTTGAATTCCTAAGTGAAAATTTTGAAAATAGATTTAAAGCTGAAATTTCAATTGAAACTAAGGATTTTATTGAGGTAATTAATCCATCCATGTCCAGTGAGCAAAATATGTCCATTATTAGAGAGGTGACGGATGAAGAAATAAAAGACACAATCTTTGCTATGAAGGACCTCAAGGTCCCGGGTCTTGATGGTCTTAATGCTTTATTTTTTAAAAAGTATTGGAACATAATTGGAAATTCCATATGTAGTGTGGTGAAAGCTTTCTTCCATTCTAGCAAGATGAATAGAATTATTAACAAATTTTTTATCACACTTACTCCTAAAATTTCCAATCCAGCATCGACAAATAATTATAGGCCCATTATCTTGTGCAATGTCATATAAAAATTATCTCAAAAATTTTGGTTAATAGAATTAAGCCATTTCTTAACGGTATTGTGTCCCCTTTTCAGAGTGCTTTCATTCCAACAAGACAAATAACAAACAATGTGCTCATTGCCCAAGAAATTGTGCATGCTATAAAGAAGAAGAAGGGCAAGAAAGGGATTATGGCTTATAAGATTGATATGGAGAAAGAATGTGATATGCTTGGTTGGGACTTCATAGAAAAGGTCCTCAAAAGATTTGGGTTCCACAGTACATGGGTTAATTGAGTCATGGAGTGTATTAGGATAGTGACATACCAAACTTTGATATATGGTGTTCCTGCCAAGGATATCACTCCTTTTAGAGGGATTAGGCGGGGAGACCCTTTATCCCCATATATTTTTGTCCTTTGTGCGGTGGCCCTCTCTCTAAACCTTATGAGGGAAGCTTCTGCTCCCAGGAGTCCTATTGGTTGTAGGATGTCTAGACAAAGGCCATCCATTCCAATTCTACAATTTGCAGATGACTGCATCATATTTTCCAAAGCTGACATCCAATCTTGTAGTACAATAAAAGATTTTTCATCCAAATTTGCCAAAGCCTTGGGCCAGGCCCCTAATTTTTTCAAATCAACATTACTTTTCTCAAAAAATATTCACCAAAATTTAAGAAAATCATGGCTAAAATCTTCAAGATTCCTTTACAAACAAAAAATGAGAATTACTTGGGTGCTGGTATTTAGCAACAAATATAACAAGGACACCTTCAAAATTTTGGGTGAGAAGATGGAGAGTAAACTAGCAGGAAAACAAATCGTCTCTCCCTTGCTGGTAAAATTACTCTCATAAAGGCTTCTAGTAACATGATTCCTCAATATATTATAAGATCATTTAAAGTTCCGAAAGGTGTTCTTCAAGATCTCGATAAAAAGAAAAGGGATTTCTTATGGACCAACAATAAAGAGAAGAAACCCCTCCACCTCATCAATTAGGACCAGGTCTACACTTCTAAGCTTTGGGGTGGGCTGGGCTTAAAGAATTTAGGATGGATGAATAAAGCCTGCCTAGCAAAATTAGGTTGGAAATTACTAAATGAAAAAGATAACTTATGGGTTCAAGTTGTAAATATTAAATATTTGCGGAGAGAAAACTTTTGGGATGCTGAGCCAAAAAAGAATCATTCATGGGCTTGGAAAGGCATCATAGAATCCCGAGACTTGATTAAGAGTGGTATAGGATGGATTATTGGCAAAGGCAATGACACAAAATTTTGGGTTGATAGGTGGTCAGATGAGGATCCCCTTATCAACTTGGTTAATAAAACAAAGATTAATAATTTAGACCTCCGTGTTAGTGAAGTCATTAACCAAGAAAACAATACTTGGAAGGAGGATTTGATTAAAAATTTAGTGCCTTTGAGTGCATGGGAAAAAATTAGAAATGTTTTTATTCCATCTAGAGATCATGAGGATAAACTCATATGGAGGCCTAACCTAGATGGAAACTTCTCGATCAATCAGCCTATAATGAGGCTAGTCGAATGCATGAAAACCCTACTAGGGCGACAAAGGAAATCAATAATGTTTGGAGGCTGGAAATTGCTCCTAAGATTAAAGTCATTTTGTATCTCTTGCTCAACAACAAACTTTCTTCCAAGGTAGCCCTTAGAAATAGAGGATTTGACATTGATGGATGCTGTGGTTATTGTGGTGATGAGGAGGATTCTGTTCATATCTTTTTAAAATGCCATTTTACTAGACAAATATGGTTCATCACAAGAGATTCCATCCTGGCTCCTCCTGAGAACAACAACTCGGTGCTTGAGTGGTGGACTTCTTTGGATGGTAATAATAAAAATACTAAGGCTCTGCTTGTGAAAGAAAAGATTGTTGTTTTATTGTGGCATATATGGAAGAATCAAATAGCAGGATTTTCAATAACAAGTCAATTCCTCCTCCCATAATCATTGATAGAGCTAGAAACTCATTTATGGAATTTGCTTAGAGTTTTGACAGTAATTCAATGAATGATCCTAGTAAATAGTTAATTCCAAAGAAGTGGATAAATCCAAAACTAGATGAAAACAAAATAAACTTTGATACTTCCTACATTAACAACTGATGCACCATTGCTTGTGTGGCCAGAAACCACCTTGGCCAAATTTTGGACTTCAAAGACTGAAATAGGAATTACAACTATTAATCTTGCTGAAGCTTGGGCTGCTTGAAAAGCCCACAATCTCGCCCTCAATTTCAATCATCATCATTGAGGGAGATTCAAAGTTAGTTATTGACAGTTTGAAGAGCCAAGTGGACCCTCCATGGAGACATAAAAGATTGCAGGTCTTTGGTGGAGAGGATGGATGGCTTCGTTGAGTATGGCCACACCTATCAAGAAGGTAATTGGATTGTTGATTGACTTGCTAAATGTGCTCATTCCAATCATATTTCTTATGCTTTGTTGCCCTATTCCTTAAAGGTTATATATCTTGTGCTGACATTTGGGGAAGAACTACCCCCGCTGTCTGTAGCTCCTATTTTCTTGTTTTTATCAAAAAAAAAAAAGATAAGTTCGAAGAAACCCAGAGAGAGAATTCTAAATATTTTGGAGATCACACCATGCCCACAGGCGTTCCATATGCACATCTCAGCGTGCATTAGGAACATCTCCCATGTTGGCATTAGATGTTCCCAAAACACGGTTGAAATTTGCAGTGGGGCGCCGATGTGAATTCAATGACAAAACCGAAATTCCGAAACATTCGTTTTGATGGGCTCCAACGAAATCCCGAAAATTCTGGTAATTGGAAACCTTCTGCCGTTAACGACTCAACTGTAACAAAAAGAAGCACTAGGCAGGAAACGTCCTCGGTCCTCCCTAAAATTAGATGTCGATTTTTATTTTCGAGGGATCTCTTCCGTTTGGGTCCAATCCATGGTCACAAAGAAAAATCAACAAAACCCTAACCCCTGCAACTTCCCATGCAAAATTCCTAATTATTCCTTCTTTGGTCGTTCAGTGTAACTGCTTAAATGCCTCACACTTCGTCTGCAAGAAAACATGGCGGAGATCAATCGGAAGGGAGTGGCTCTGTCCTAAAATCGCAACGGGCCAAAATGGGAGGAATCGCCAACGACTCCGAGAAGAAGGTAAACGGTAAACCTAGCTTACTGTCTAATTCAAACAATTTAAGTGTTCAACTTATCACAATCCCATCATGCTCTACATGAAACATGATTTGAATGTGAATGGCAGAATGGAAATAGCAGAAACATCTCTGGTTTCGAATTACTTATCCTCGTAATTTACTTGTTCTTAATTGTTAGCGTATGTATCTCCGACTTTTTTGTTTTTTTGGCAGGGCTCGAGCAAAAGACTTAAGGATGTTGAGATAAGTGTTCCAATAGTCTATGGAACTGTATCATTCTGGCTTGGTAAAAGGGCGAGTGAGTAAGTGTGATAGTTAGTGGGTCCCCACACTTACTTACCACTTGCTCGACTGATTTACTCTTGTTTAATTCTGCTAGGTATAATTCGCACAAGTGGACTGTCTATGTTCGTGGGACAACAAATGAGGACCTGGGAGTAGTGATCAGGCGTGCCGTGTTCCAATTGCATACCAGTTTTAATAACCCCACGCGGGTTGTGGATTCGCCCCCATTTGAGTTATCAGAATCTGGATGGGGAGAATTTGAAATTGCTATCACCCTTTATTTCCACAGTGACGTCTGTGATAAACAGTTGGACCTGTGAGTTGTTTTCTTTGCTTTTTTCTTTTTTCATTTTAGTTATTGGGTTCAAATTTACTAGGACAGCCAGTTTTAAATTTTTTATTAGAAATGGTTGTTTTAATTTAGTAGTTCTGTCTTCACAATTAACAGATACCACCATCTAAAGTTGTATCCAGAGGATGACTCTGGGCCTCAGTCGACCAAAAAACCTGTTGTCGTGGAATCTTATGATGAGATTGTATTTTCTGAGCCCTCTGAGTCTTTCTTTGCTCGTGTACAGAATCATCCTGCTGTAATTGTACCTAGACTACCTGCTACTTTTAACTTACCTCCTCCTGGTATGATGGTTGATATTCTATTTTTAAAAGATTTTTGCATGTTACAGTGTTTTTTAGGAAGGAAATTGCTTTTAATTTTCTGCAGCACCAATAGACAATGTTAATGAAAAGAAGAAAGGTGATACTAAAGATCATACACTAAGTCAGTGGTTCATGACTTTCTCAGAGGCAGACGAGCTACTAAAACTTGCAGCTGCTCGTCAACAGGTCAGAATGAAGTAGTTTCTTCCATTTCTCTTATTAGATATATTTTCTTTGGGAAAGAGAATGTAAGGACTGCATAGGATAATTTCATTGTCAAAGCTTACTTTTACCTTATCTATTCTCAAGAAAAAAAAATCAAAGCCTTATCCAAACTATATGGGGTTGGCTATGTAAATCCTGTTTTGTTATTCTGTTCTGTTTAGTGCCATATCCATTGTTAGATAATGAGTGTTTAAATCATTTGTTACAACTTCAACACATGCCCTTTTTGGTTTGCCTCTAGCCCTTCTAGCCACTTCTTCAACTTGCAGCAGATCACTTCTTCTTATGGGTGCTGTAGGTGGTCTGCTCTGCAAATGACCAAACCATCTTATTCTACTTTCTCTCGTTTTATCACCTGTTGGAGCTACTCCTAGATTCCTTTGAAGGACTTTATTTATGACCCTATCCTTTCTAGTTTTCCCCTCATCCATCTTAACATACATATTTCTACCACCATCATTTTTTGGATGTATTTCTTGATTGTCCAACAAACTACACCATGTAGCATTGCCAACTATTTTATAGAATTTTCCTTTTAATCTAAGCAGTATTCACCTATCGCATTAGACTCCATATGTACCCCTCAACTTCACCCATCTTGCTCTAATTCCATAGGCAACATCCTTCTTACTCTCTCCCTTGTTATGATTTGTCGAACCAATTTACCAAAAAAGGTTGCATTGAGTTATCTTTTGGTCTCCAATCATAAGCATACCTTGTTTTGCACTCCTATCATTATTAAATTTATGTAGCATGAGTTATGTTTTAGTCCTTATTTTAAAACCTCTTGTTTTTAAGGTATTTGTCATTAACTTAATTTGCATTTAATCCTTCTTTAGATTCATCAATTAAGAGAACAATTCCATCAGCAAACATAAAGCACCATGGGACCTACTCCTAAATATGTTTAGTCAATTCATCTATGATCAATGCAAATAGATAAGGACTAAGTGTTAAACCTTGGTGAAGACCCATTGTAATTGTAAGATTTGATGTTTTTCCCACATGTATTCTAACGTAGGTCATTACACCCTCATGAAAAAAAGGCCATCACCCAATGTTGCTCCTAGCTATTTAGGGACTTGGGAGGGGTAGATTGGGTACAGTCCTAATCTTTTTTGCACCCTCATACAAATCCTTAATTAGATCTATATACTTATTTGAAATCTCGTTCTTTTCCAAGATCCACCATATTATCTCCCTAGGAACTCTATCATATGCTTTTTCTAGATCAATGAACACTATATGAAGATCTTGAATATAGGCACCATATTACTGTTGACACAAATTTTGTGTATTGATTTAACAAAAAATAGAGATAAATTATAAAATGGATTTTGCAATATAGAAAATACTAGGATTTAACTCCCTTTGATTCTATTCACATGAGCGACATCTAATTAATGTTAAAAGATGGTGAAGTTGAGGGTTGTTGGCATGGTTGTCAAGGCGACAAGGCGCCCTTGGAGGCTCGCCTCGCCCAGTCGCCAAGTAGTTTTGTGCACTATGTTATAAAATACTTTTATATTTTTATTTTTTGACATTATAATTATAAAAAAGGCATTATTAAACTAGAATACTCATTTTATGTGTTTATGTACTAATTTCTTTTTATTATTTTCTTATTTGTTAGGGTTTAATCAACATAAACATTGCTAACTGTTGTATTGAACCCATGGTTCAAAGTATTGATACACCTCTGTGTATCGTCAGAGGTGTATCAGTACTTATAACGATACTCCTATTTTTTTATTTCTTTGGTTTTCAATTTCATTTTTAAATATATATTATTTTAAAAAATGGGTTCCCGAAAACACCTGTAAACATGTGTATTGGGCGCCAAAGATAAAATACAATACACCTGATACGGGGCATATCGTATCGAAGTTTTGATCCTTTATTGAATCCTCAAAGATTTCATAATGTGAACCAATAAGCAAGGGAAGAACTTAAAATTTTGTCTAATCAACACATTTTCTTCTTACAGATCTTCTTCTTCTTCCACTTTTTCTTTTCTTATTTAGCTATAACAAAAGTAGGGGTTCAGCCCCTATATTTTTTGAATTTTCTTTCCCTTGTTCCTTTTCTTCTCATAAAATGTTGATTTTCTAAACTTAAAACATGAAATTTATACTTCTCTTATGAAAATTATGGATAATTATTAAGGAAAGATGGTTCTGGAACCTACGGAACTACCCTAGGATATATGGTTTTACTTAAAAAAAATCTATAGCCTAGGTGACTAGGCAACAAGGCACCCCCCTGTTGCCTAGCCTCACCTTGGCGCCTTAAAAACTATGGTTGTTGGCATATTTCCAGTACTTCTTGAAGTGTTAATGTAGACTTCTTCACTATGAGCTTTGCACTTGATTGGCTATGAAGAATGCTTCTTTAAGAAGGGTCTCTTGTAATGGTTTGATCTTCCTTGAGAGCCTAAATCCAAGTGTGAAATAGAGAACTAAGAAGATGCTTATCTTCATGGAGTTTGCCAGTGTTTTTTATTGCTTGCAATTCTCTAATGTTAGTGAAATAAAAGAGAGAGACATTTATCCTCCCTAGGCACCAACATTTATAGCCTAAGGCAGTGAATTAAAAGGTGTGCCTCAGGCATGCCTAGGCACACAAGCGAGGCACATTTTAGGGTAGGTGCCTCACCCAAGTCCTAGGTGCAGCATTTTCAAAAGGCGCACCAGGCGTGCGTCTTTTGAAAATTTTACGCTTTTTTGCTTTTTTTGAACCTAGCGGCTGGGTCGGGGCTCCGCTAGGTGCACGCCTCGCTTTTTTGGCCCTTGTGCCTTTTTTGCACCTTGTGCTTTTAAAACACTGGCCTAAGGCTAGGGCTGCCACTTCAGCCTACTTGCTAACCAATCCCATGTAACTGGGATGTTGTTTAGGGTTAATTCCTATACATGCTCCATTGTATAAGGGTTAGTGGATTTGCTAAAGTGCCCTTACTATAGGGGCTATTGTGCAAATTAGACTCATTTCTTTGGCTTAAAATTTACATGTCTGCAACTACTCTTTCTCCATTCATCAAGAAACTTCTTTTTTTCTTTATCGTATTAAATAGTTTAGTAGCCATAATAAGCCTACCTTTCCACACTTCTATTGGAATACCATTTGGTTCAAACGGCCTTCACTTCATCTTTTAGTGCCTCCCTCAACCTAGTATACCACAGTAAAGAAGAAATAAAAGTTCCTAAGGATTTCCTGTTGTTTTCAAAGCATTTAGGAGGAAGCAAGACACTCATTTTTACTAAGGAGTGCTATTCAGAGACTTGGGAGAAGACTCTATTGTGTGAAATTGATGGGAAAGTAAATTGGAGGATTTTGAGACTGAACTTAATGGTGACTTTCAAAGTTAATAGCCTCTGTACGTTGTTGCTTGTGAGTCCGGACAACGGTAGTGCTTAAGTCCAGATCTAAAAGGTAAAGCCACACCGCATATTAATCTATGGGGTTACTCAACCAAGGGAGATACAAATTAAGCCTTTAGAGGAAAGAGATCAATGTTGTGTGTTGAGAATAGGTCTGGAAATATGAATGTGGGGACTAATTTTTCATCTTTGGAACCAACCGGTCTTGAGATCAATAGGCGACTGTTGTGGTGACTTCGTCAAAATATCTAAAGCAACAACAACGCTACAAAACCTTAGATGGGTGGCAGTGAAGGTTCAATCAAAGATTCCACATCTCATTCCTAGAATGGTTGAAATAAAAGAAGGAAAGGAAAAAGGGGAAGATGTTTGTGGAGGATAACAAGAGCAGCATTGGTTTGGACTATATGGGAAGAAAGTAACCAAAGGATCTTCAATGAAAAGAGTAAGTCTGTTAGGAACCTGCCTAACTCAGGGCTCTTCGAGGGAGCCAACCTCCTGAACTCGTTGGAAGGGAAGAGAGAGAGAGAGATTAATGCCGAAAGATTCATGTCTTATTTCTCTTTGTGCTTCACTACTTATACTGTTTACATTCTTTGATTCTTTTCTGCTACAGCTGTTGCAAGTGGACGATTAGTTGTGCTGATGTGGCCTCCTCTTGTAAAACTGATTAACTGCTTTCTGTTGGTCTGTTCCAGCAGTCTTTACAATACCTCCCTCTTTTAAAGCAACCTTGCCCTCAAGGTCTAATGTGGGAAAGTTTGATTGCAGATCCAAGTAGGATTCCCAGGTTGCATCCTGTTCTGGGAGTTTAGACCAAACAACTAATGCTTCTGGTATGACCCCTCCGCCACGTCGCACCCATCTGAAATCAATGATGCGGGCTGGCTCAGTCTGCATTTGTCCTTCATCTGAAAATGTGGGAAGGGTCACACTTGTAATGACTCCTGGCTTCGGCACTTTCTTCAGTAAGGAGATATGGAATACAGGGTGCAATTTTGATGTTGCCGGGAGGTCCAGCTTGTATGCCACTGGTCCAAAATAGCGCGGGCTGAGTTTGTTCCACTATCGGCTTGCAACTGAAATCTGTCTGAAAGGTTGCAATTTGAGAAATACCCAATCACCGACTTCATATTGGACAATCTTGTGATGTTTATCATAGGTGCGCTTCATCCATTGTTGTGCCTGTAAGAGATGATTTCTCAGTTCCTTTAACACTTCATCTCGTTGTGTCAGTTGTTCTTCTAAGGCCGCTACTGTGGTGGTCCCTTTTTCATAAGGAAGTAGAGGGGGAGGATCCTAACCATATAGAGCTCTGACGAGTGTCATCCCAGCAGCACTATGGAAGGTGGTGTTGTACCACCATTCAGCCCACTGGATCCACTTCACCCATTGTCTTGGTCGATCTCCCGCGAAGCATCTCAAATATGTTTCGAGACTCTTGTTAACTGCCTCCGTCTGTCCATCAGGTTGGGGGTGGTAGCTAGTTGACTTGAAGAGTTTAACCCCGTGTAGAGGAAAAAGTTCAGCCCAGAAATGACTCATAAAAATAGAGTCCCTGTCTGACACAATTGAGTTAGGGAG